CGGTTCTAAAGCATTCAATTTAGTCCTTGGGAGAATAATTATTATAAACAATTATTACGGAGTATCTTTAATGTCATTTGCAGGTAGTGTAGAAGCTACACAATCTACACGTCAAGCTTCTCATACCATCCAAATAACTGGATTGATTCACTTTGTTTTCTGGTAAACACTTGCTGCACTTGGTTATTTGTTTTTGGTACAAAACATTATCTATACTTGTTTACTAGTATTTTGGTAAATTAGTTGGTATAATTGTTTACTTGTTGGTAAAACACATGTTTACTGGTTGTGGGTAAACATGTGGTACACTTGATTAGTTGGTATTGTTAAGTGCTGATATAGTTACTTGGATGTGCAGTGATTTGGATACTTCTTCCTTCAGAGGCAAAATTCAGAACAGAAGACAAAGGCAAAATTCAGAACAGAAGACAAACGAGAGGCAGTGTACTAGTCTTAAAGTGTTGTAGTAGTGCCTTGATAGTGTTGAATAAAACCTCACAAATAGTTACCCAATGAGAGATTAAGAAACTGTATCATATCTCAAGTATCATTATGGCATTTAATTTTTTTGTGATGACTTTTTGAAAGGTATATATAATAAACATATTCATATTTGTGCTTGTGTAATGATGATATGACCTTTTGTAAATGTCCTATGTTATTTTGTATGTTGAACCAATGAGTGGTGTTGTGTTTTAACTAAATAATGAGCAAAATCAGCAAAGGTTTTTTAAAAACTAACGTCTAAACAGTCCTTAGCAGATCTGCCACGGAAAATTCCGTTGCAGATTCTGTGGCTGATCCCTTTCCGTCGCTAGAGTAGTATGGTACGAAATGTAGAAATGTCCGTTGCAGATTCCGTAGCAGATCTGCCACGGAAAATTCCGTTGCAGATTTCGTAGCAGATCTGCCACGGATATGATTTTTCGTGGCAGATTTAAAATCTGCCACAATTTTTTTGCCACGGATTAGTTTTGTCGCAAATCCGTAGCAAAATTGAAATCCGCCACAGAATTTTCATTTCTGCCACGGAATTTGTCCGTTGCAGATTCAGCAGATTCTTGTAGTGTAAACTCTCATATGTTTCTCATATGGCTCTCATATCAAAACCCAAGGCTTGGCTATGATATATATAGTGTTAACCCAACTTGGCCAACAAGTAATCTAGGATCCATAATTCTATTCCTACTTGAACTAGAATATCTCGGGTAATCCTAATCCTACTCGATAATTAGTCAACACTAAGACGGGTGCAGGAGGGACTCAGGGTGGGTGAGATTGATGGGTCTAGGTGGCTTTGAGGGTAGAAACCATCAACTTTATGAATGAAGCATCGGAGCTCGTAGCTGCCCCAAAACTGTCGGTATGTTATTTTTGTTGGTGAAAGATTACAAGTTCTCATATACAATTAGATAACAATTAGTCTTATTAAATAATAAAGATTACAAAAAATGTAATAAGAATAAAATTGAATAATGAAGGTTCTAATTTGATATTCCATAACAATCAGTATTATTTGATAACGACTATCCTATCTTTTATCCTTTATATATATATAAATCAGACTCTGAGCTACAGAAACGCGACATTTGGCGGAGTTGTGGCGCAGCATGTGGGAGTTGATATGTCATTATTTTAGAAGACTAACTTTGAAGTGGAAGCTGAGGTTGCAGAGGCAAGCCTAAACCGGGGAAAAAAAGGAATACCCGGAATTTAATACGCTGAGAGAAGATGCGGTCTCCCTACCTTTTCTTTAGTTTCTTCGCGATTTTCTTCGACAATTTCCTTCATCTTCTCCTTTCCTTTTTTTTTTATCAAATTCAACACAGAGGATAGTTTTCTCTTCTTTGGTTTCTTCGTGATCTCACAGAGAGAAGACGCAGAGACAATCCACGATCTCCTTTCCTTTTCTTTGACAATTTCCTTCATCATCTCCTTTCTTTTTCTTATGAATTTAAACACAAACCCAACGATTCTTTAGGTCCATGACAACCACGAACCCATCGATTCTTTCCGAAGTATCAATGATTCTTTCTTAATTCAGCGGTAGCCAATTGCTCTCAATTACAACCCAATTTCTAGCGTATCAATGATTCTTTTTTAATAACGGGTATTCTTACCTTCATTTTATTTGCTCCAAAACCATTAATTTTGGGTAATTTTTTATTATTATTATTTTCCTCAAATTGTTAGGGCTCTTAATCCTTGACATATACTATATAAAGATAACTCCACGGGAATCTGTTGGTGTGCTGCAACGGTGCATCAGCAAGTAGATGCCGTAGTGAGTTGTGACGGTGAAGAAGGAAAAGAGGAGGCACTTAATTAATTAGTCACAACCTTAGGAACATAATATCTTGCTAAAAAAAGGCACATATACATACTTTAAAACTTATTTAATTTTTATTTTTCTTTACTTTCTTTTGTTCAGTTTTATCAATGTTGGCAGTGTTATCTTTGGATGCTTAAAGTTCATAGTCGAGCAATAAGGATTTTGATGGTTGTTTGGACAAAATTTCCCAATGAACTTCGCACAAGTTCTTCCTTTCAAGCACATACGTCTTTAGTGGTTCACTAAGCTTCAAATATGGTTGATAAATAAGGTATATCGAATTTTTAAAATTATTTTAATTACATGTAAGTATAGAAATAAAATAAATAAATTTCACCATTTAAAAGTACATAAAAAGTTTTATAAAATAAGAAGTGACAATAATATTTTATACTATCAAATTATCAATGAAAATATACAAACAAACAAAAGTTATTAAGAGATCATAACAGAGGACATTGTATCAAAGATTGAGATGTGATTTTTTATATGTGTTGGTCGTTTCTCCCACATTAGAAAAGAAACGACAAAGTACCTAACATATACTCCCTCCGTCTTTAAATATTTGCCACATTTGTATTCCCGAGGTAAAATATCAAGTTTTTTCAATTCATTTTATTTACATATTGGTATAAAAATAAAAAATAAAATTTATATATCAAAAATCTACATGAAAAGTTCTTCGAAATAAGAGTGTCAAGAATATTTTATTTTATCAAATAACCAATGAAAATGTAGAAATAAACAAAAATTTCCGCAACTATTGAACAAGCAAATGTTGTGAATATTTTGGGATTTGATGATTTCTCTTCATCACACTAACTAATTTTATGATGAAAATTTTATGGGTTTGTGTTGTGCATATCCCATAAATACCCAAGAAGAGGCATGTGTCCCCCACTTTAAGATTGACACACTTGACTTTTATCAATATAGATCCAAATTAGATTATAATTTTTTTCTTCCCGATAACTTTTACTTTGTGTGTGTTTACATTGAGAATTTAATAAAATAAAATATTTTTGTCACTTCTGATCTTATAGATATTTCATAAATAATTTTTATTTTTTATTGATGTATCAATTTGTAAATAAAATGATTACAAAAGGAAGATATAGTACTAAATGTTTTTATTTTTAATGTAGTACCATATATTTTTATTCTCAATGTAGTACCATTGTTCAATATCCACTGATCATTGTTCAAGTAGATGTCCACCGACACTGGCCATTGTTCTAGCTAAATATCCATCATCATTGGACATTACTCCCGTCACTAGACATTATTCAAGTATTATTTAGAGAATAAAAAATTTTAAGTGCTATATTGAGAAAAGACATGGAAAAAAGACAAAAGTAGGAGTAAAAATTGAAAATATACCAAAATAGGACTTTCATGTTTTTATTCCCAAAATAAAAGTTAAAATGCATTTACATAATTACCAAACATGATTATGTACAATATCAAAAATTATAATAATGTACACATGTACTGTGCCTCATTACAACCACATTACCACAGTGTGAAGTCATATTTTGGGATTAAAAACATAAAACTCATATTTTAATACTTTTTTATGACTTAATCTTATTTAAAGTGAATTCTAAAATGACATACCCCGGAGTATATCTTAGTACTCTGTACTATTCAGTGCAAATTTTACAAAAACAAATGTCATTTCTAATTTCTAAAAAAAAAAAGAAAAAATCTTAGTCACTACTCACCATAACCTGGCAGCGACCGTTGTGGAGGCGACCACCTCTGAAAAATGGGGGGAGTCTCTAGTGCGCACTAGGATATGGTCTAGCTGAGTGTTGTGGCTTGGGTCACTGTGATTTACCTCCTCTCACATTTCCGTCGGGTCGGAGGTGAGGGGCGCCCGGGGTGAGCGATTTCACCTTTTTGGAGAGTGAAATTTTAATTCTAAAACTAATAGGGAGGGAGTAGTCGATCCGTTGAATAGTAGGCACGCCTCAATATACATACATATAGTAGCTCTTCTTCTTCTCCGTTCAAACATATACGGAGGACGCACTCATCGGCGCTATATCGTTAAATTTCGACTGTATTTTTAGCAGATAGAAAGAATATGGAGGACGGAGGAGAGGCGGCGACGCGGAGGAGGCGGCGGTGTTGCTCGAAGGACGATTTTCTCCCCGAGGAGTCGTTCAGGAGCTGGGGCAATTACGTCAATGCGCTCAAGCAGACGCCTTCCAGGTTCGCCGAGCGGGCGTTCAGCAGGTCCGACGACGGGGCGGAGCTGGCGGCCAGGTCCCGGAGCAACCACGAGATGAGGAAGAGTCTGTCGTGGTGGGACCTGATGTGGTTCGGGATGGGAGCCGTCATCGGCGCCGGAATATTCGTGCTCACCGGACTTGAGGCCCGGGAGGACGCCGGCCCCGCCGTCGTCCTCTCCTACGCCGTCTCTGGCCTCTCTGCTCTGCTCTCCGTCTTCTGCTACACTGAGTTCGCCGTCGAGATCCCTGTCGCCGGTGCGTTATCCATTTTTTCCCTTTTCTTACTCCTTGTAATTAAATGACTCTCGTCAAATTTCACAAATCAAACATTTTGATAAAATAGTATTTTGGAAATATTTTATATATTAAATTTAATAAATTATTTTTGTGTCAATATCTAATACCATTTTTATTTAATTTGGTTGCAAAATTTATCAATTTTAACCGAAATAAATTAAAAATTGACAAATAATTCAGGATTTATTGTCAAAATTTATCAATTTTAACCGAAATAAGTTAAAAGTTGACAAATAATTCAGGATGGAGGAGTATAAATAAATGCGCTCCGTAATATTTTAAAAACTTTAGACGTAGATCAAATCAAATGAATAGAAAATATTTCATTCAAATTTTGTAAATTGAAACAAGAGGACAATCTTAGGAGTTTTGTAAGTGCTTTAATATTGAAATGGATGAAATACTCGGTATTTAAATTTTGTTTGGTTTATTTAGAATATTGATTAAAAGTGTGTGTTATGTACTACAAATGTGTGTTACATAGTAAAATGAATTAAACTATACTTTGATTTCTATGATATTTGGAACCAATGTTATAAGATGACCCGGGGGTTCTCCAGTATCCCGTTCGTAAAATCGACGGTTCTTACCCCCCTTACCTTCCGGTAAACCCTCTACTCCGCCCCGACCTGAACACACCCTCCCACACCTTTCAATTGCACCCCCAAGTTAATTTTGTCTTGGAGTCAAAATTTGACTCCAAAGTCAAAATTAACTTGGGGGTGCAATTGAAGGGGGTGGGGCTTTGTGTTCGAGTCGGGGTGGGTGAGAGGGTTTACCAGGGGGTAAGAACCGTCAATTTTACGAACAGGACATCAGAGCACCCCAGGTCATCCCATGACATTGGGAATGACATTGGTTCCCAATGTCATGAGATAACATTGGTTCCCAATGTCATGGGAACTGGCCCCATTAAACTGTTCGTATACCAAAAATTGTATCCTATTTTGTATCACGAAGACATGTACCTACATTTTATACTAGTGTGATGGTTTACACTGAAACAAAATGTCAGTGTAAATATTTTTTTGTTGAACTTGCATTTTGTCCCAGTGTGAACTGTAAAAATGTCAGTGTATCCCTTTGGGGTACAACTTGGAGTACACTTTTTGGTACACCCCTAGCATGGTTGTACTAAAATTTATAGAGTGAGATAAAAAAAAGGTTGAAAATGAATTAAAGAATTTGTACCCCACTTTGTATCCCGAACTAATGCACCAACATTTTGTGCTATCGTAATGCTAGTGTGATGATTTACAATGACACAAAATGTCAGTGCAAATGTTTTCTATTAAACTGGCATTTTGTGTGATGGTATGAAACGTTAAAATATTGATACATACCGTTAGGGCACAAATTAAAGTCGGGCTTTTTTGGGTATCCCTGAAAAAAATGGATTATCACTTTGTCTCACTCAAGTTTTAATTTTGAAACATTGATAAAATAAAAAGCGAAAACTTAGATGCCGATTATAAGAGCACTGGTACTACCCTTAACGCTCCTCGGCGTTATGGCCATTTTGAAGCCTGGGGGGCGTTAAACACCGCCCCCCTCCCCCGTTAAAAGAGCGTTAAACTTCTTGCGTCAAAGTTTTGACGCACTTTGAAGGCATTGTCACGCCTTCTTCTTCCCTTTTTCTCCCTCTTTTNAATTATTATTCAAGTGTTTTATTTATTTTTTCATGAATGTAATTTTTTTATTTAATGAATGTAATGTTTTTATTTAATTAATGTAGTTTTTTTAATAATGAATTTAATTTTTTTATTTAATGAATGTAATTTTTTTATTCAAAATCATGGAAACCGACCTTTCTACGTTGTCGGGTTTCAAACGGATGATCTACGAGCAAAGATAAAGAGAGATCAAGGCGAAATATAATTTACCTTAGTTTTTTTATTAATGTATCTTTTTTATTATTGTCGTTTTTTATTTTAATGAATGTAATTTTTTAAATTTTAAATTATGGTCGTTTCAATTTCTTTAAATTTAATGAATTTATTTTTTTGTATTTGTGTTTCAATATAATTAAATAATAAATTAATTTAAATTTATTAATTTAAATTTAGAAGATGTATATTTAAAAATGTAAAAAAAGAAGATTTGAAGCCCCAGTTTGAAGCCCCGGGGCTTCAAAACCATTTCCAGTGAATTTTTGGTGTAAGTTATAGCTGACGTGGGAGAGAGAGAGAGTTTGAAGCCCCGGTTTGAAGCCTCGGGGCTTCATGACCATTTCCAGTGCTCTAAGAGGGTGTTTGGCACTGCAGTGTTTTTCAGAATTTAGCTTCTGCTTTAAGTGGTAATCATTTGATTTTGTTTGTTATACCAACTTTTGCTTTCCTTCATCATCATTTTGTACATAAAACACCATTTCGGAGAAACAGATATATGATGCTTCTGCTTTCAGTTTTTGAGAAAATCAATTTATCCACTAATTAATCACTCTCAAACACTTTAAGTATGCGAATTCTAAAAGCTTGTGTGCATGCATTGAGTTCGTTTTATGAAGAGGAAAAAAGTGGCCATGAGTCCATGACACAAAATTGTATCCTACAACACTTAATTTTTACGGAGGATGCAGTTTCAAGCACTATATTAATTAGATGAACAATCCTTATTACTAGCTAGCCCAATTGGCAACTGCTACCCAACGTCTATATTTAACATATTGTTCTCTAATACTATTTCTGTTCCAAATTAAATTGCGTATTTATTATTTACATGGTTAAACTTCAATCATTTCTTTATCTATTTTTGTTAGTCATTTGATAAAATAATATAATAATGTCATCACTAATTCTGTAGATTCTTTAATTTGATTTAGTTTATAAATATGTACAGAGTAATTTTTATTTTTTAATTTAAACCATTTTTATATAAAATCATTTAAAAATAACTTTAGCCAAACATCGTAAACCGAAACAGACGATTTAAAATGTGACAGAGGGACTACAATACTCCTAGCCTCCTTTCCCAATTAATCGTCCTTTTTTTTGAAAATGCGAAAAATTTCATCTTTGTTTTAAGCTAAGTTGTGACCTGTTTATTTTAATTTATCAACTGATAACTGAAAATTGTACCGAAATAAAAATTATCAAAAATCTAAAATAATAAATAGGCCAATTAATTGAGGACGAAAATACTTTTTTATGTCACCCTCTAGTAGTTGAGATGAAGACATAACCTTTGACCTTTTCCAAAAGGGTTGTGAAGATGATAACAGTCGTTTGACTTTCACTAAATGGGTGTGGGTGTATTTTGTTGACGTGAGAAAGTTTGAAATTAAAGAATAATTGAAGAATGGGATTTAATTGCGTTTTTTCAACTATAATTAAACAACAAATAACGAAACGCAATTTGAGAATTGTGATGATGCCGGCGGCTGTTTAATCGTCCATAATTGACAATATATGTACATATACTACAAAAGAACTCTGAAGTTCATCCTTTTCTTTACAAAAGACCTTCTCTATGTAAAATTTATTGTTTATTTAATTTTCAATTTAATATATTTGAAAATTTAGTGTTGAATTCAAAAATAAAAATTACGTAATACTCCATCCGTCCCTAAATAAACTTTCCCATCCTTTTTTTCTTCGTTCCCAAATAAACTTCTCTTTTCCCTTAAAAAACCATTTTACCCCTTACTTTTTCATACCCTACCTATCACATCATACATTTTTACTAATAATCTACATATCACATTTTACTTTTACACATCACATTAAGGATATTTTTGGAAAGTCAACACAAAAATATTCCTCCCTTAAATCCTCAAAAAGTCAAAAAGGGAAGTTTATTTAGAGACGGAGGGAGTATATATTTAGAAATTTTATTGTAAGTTTTGCAAAGGTAGTTGTAACTTGATTATTTTATTTTATCAAATAACTAATGATAATACGTAAACAAAAAAATATAGTTCTACCTTATGAATAATTAAGATGAATCATATTTTGAGATGAAGGAAGTAGAATATAAAACTTAATTTCTAGAATGTTAGTACATTTTAAGTCTCATTCCTTTCAATTTATTTATGCTACTTAATTTTTATTCTTATCAAAATCTGATCATATCAGATCCATTCAAATCAAATCAGATCAAATCAGATTCATTTATCAGATCGGATCTCTTCAAATCAGTAACTGATTTAAAAAATAAATAATTTTAAAATAATAATAATAATAATAATAATAATTACAATAATAGCAATAGCAATTATTATTACCATTATTAATTAATTAATAAATAGTAATAATAATAAGAATAATATATTATAATCATACTTAATAATAATAATAATAGTAATAGTAATTAATAATAATAACAATTAAAAGAATAATAATCAATATTAATATTATTAAATTATAATAATAATAAATATTGTTATAATTATTAATAAATAATAATAATTAAAAATAATAATAATAGATAATGATAATTTAATATCATCATACTTAATAATAAAAATAATAGTAATTAATAATAATAATGATTAAAATGATAATAATAATAATTTATTTTAATTATCGTAATTATAATTATTAAAATAATAATGATGATGATGATGAATAATTGCAGTTATGATTATTAATAATAAAATTAGTATAGTAGATCTTATTAATAATAATTATTAATAATAAATAACAAATTATTATTACTATAATTATTATTATAAATATTATTATAAATATTATTATTACTCTAATTGATTGAATTTGAATTAAATCTATTCATATCACATCATATTCATTCAGATCATATCAGATTCATGCAAATATGATCAGATCAGCCTTAAAAATTGAGTTCAAATAAGGTCAGCTGAAGAGAACGCAGCCTTAGTGTCTCTAAGGCAAGATTTGTCTAACTCTAACATTTTGAAAAAGCTATTTAATATGGAGTAACAATATTTAGCTTTAATATTTTCAATGTTATTAAAGTATTATTAAAAGATAATTTAAAACACCAAATAAAAACATCGTTCCCAAATGAGGCCTTGATCATATTCAGTGATACCTTTAAATTGATTTTATATTTTCATATATACTCCCTACATCCAAAAAAATAAGTTATGGGTCGATATCAAAGGGTTTAGAAATGGTATTGAAAAATAAAAAATGTGTGGATTGTTAAAAAAGAAAGAAACATCATTGTATTAAATCTTGAAATGGGATCATCATCATCATCAGCATCATTATATTTGACCAAGTTTTGATTTTGTGTTGTATGTGTATGATCAGGTGGTTCCTTTGCATACCTAAGGGTAGAACTTGGTGACTTTGTGGCCTTCATAGCCGCCGGGAACATCCTTCTCGAGTACGTCATCGGCGGAGCAGCGGTGGCGCGTTCCTGGACGTCCTACTTGGCCAGTCTCTGCAACAAAGACCCCAACTCTTTCCTCATAAAGGCCCATGGCCTAGCACAAGGCTACAACAAGCTTGACCCCATTGCTGTAGGGGTCTGCATTGTCATTGGTATGGTTGCCACTCTCAGCACAAAGGGTTCGTCCCGCCTCAACTACGTCGCGTCCATCGTCCACATTCTCGTGATCCTATTCATCATCGGGTGCGGGCTCGTCAAATCCGACCCGAAGAACTACACGCCCTTCGCGCCGTTCGGCCCGCGCGGGGTCTTCAAGGCCTCGGCCGTTCTGTTCTTCGCGTACGTCGGCTTTGACGCGGTCTCGACGATGGCCGAGGAAACGAAGAACCCGGCGAGAGACGTGCCGGTAGGGCTGGTGGGGTCCATGGTGGTGACGACCGCGGTTTACTGTCTGCTCGCGGTCACGTTGTGTATGATGCAGAAGTACGACGCCATCGACGTGAATGCCCCATTCTCCATTGCTTTCAGGAGTGTGGGGTGGCCATGGGCTCAGTACATCGTTGCCTTCGGAGCCCTGAAAGGGATGACATCCGTGTTGCTGGTCGGTGCGGTCGGGCAAGCGCGTTACCTGACCCACATTGCCAGGACTCACATGATGCCGCCCTGGTTTTCGCACGTGGACCCCACGACCGGGACGCCGGTCAACGCGACGGCGACAATGATGGCGGCCACCGCGGTTATCGCGTTCTTCACGAAACTCGACATTCTGGCGAACCTTCTCTCGATTTCGACCCTCTTCGTCTTCATGCTCGTGGCGCTCGCACTTCTCATGCGCCGCTACTACGCGAGCGGGGCGACCGCGCCTCGGGACCGCAACAGGTTCATCGTCCTCGCCTCGGTCGTCCTCGCGTCGTCGGTCGCCACGTCAGCGTACTGGGGCTTGAGCGAGGACGGGTGGGTCGGGTACTGCGTGACGGTCCCGTTGTGGTTCTCGGCAACCGCGGGCATTTACTTCTTCGTCCCCCAAGCCCGCGGTCCGAAACTATGGGGGGTCCCGTTGGTCCCGTGGCTTCCCTCGACGTCCATCGCCATCAACATCTTCCTCCTCGGCTCAATCGATCGACAGTCGTACGAGAGGTTTGCGATTTGGACAGCTTTTCTTCTGGTTTACTATGCCTTTTTTGGCCTTCATGCATCATATGACAATGCAAAGGAGTTGGAAAGAAACCAAGAACATGGGAAAATTGAAGATGGGACTGTGCCAACTTCAGCCATAGTTGCTCAGTGTGCTGCTTCTAAGAATTAGCTACACATTTAGTATTAATTAAATAGAACTCTTGGTTTCAATAGCAATTTAGAGTTTGGGGATTGATATGATATAGAATTTGAAAGTTTGAAAGAATAATATGAGTTCTAAAATCTAAAATGATTGTATTTGGAGATAATTTGAAATCATGATTTTTTTAGTTATAAACGAGGACAACGTTGACTGAACGGCAACGGGTGGACAACGATGATGGTAGCCCGTAGCGAGGGTGGTCAGCACTTAAAAGAGATATCAAGCTCTCATATTAAGATCTCCTAAATTCAGAAATACTCCATATCAAAACTGTCTCCTCTAGAAAGTTTTGAAATCTAAATATAACAAATTCCAAACTTGTTTAGGCTTCACCCAACCTAAAAATATTCTACTCCTTCAGTCCCAATTTAAATCACATGTTTCGATTTACGATGTTTAGCTGAAGTTTTTTTAAATTATTTTATGTGAAAAAAGATGTATAATTTAAAAAAATAAAATTATATATTTAAAAACTAATCGTGACATGACTATTAATTTATCAAATGACTACTAAAAATAGAAAAAGTGAGTAAATTTTGACCATGTGAATAGTATACATGCAATTTAATTTGGAACGAGGAGAGTAATAGATATTACTCCTACAACTCATCTTTTCTGCTCATTAAACACACTTTTAGATGCAAGCCAATTTTTAAACGCAAAGTTGTATATCTAACATAAAAGGAATGAAATTAGCAACATCCAAAACATATTATAGTTAAATAAAACTCCAAATCATAGCTTCAAACAAAAAAAATTGTTCAACTCATTTTAAGATTCATAAAGGTTAGAAAACTCTGTTCGACGAAGAATTGGATGTGTATGTGACGATACAACTGAACACTCTCAAACAACAAACCTATTTACTCCCACAACACATGGTACACAATACATTGCTTTGGTGTTCACCCGTTTGCCGTTAGTCCGTTACCGGTAAAAATGGCTAAAGAAGAGAGAGATTAAGAACCTATAAAATCTCCGAAATGAAAGCAAAGAATACCACACTGGCGGGCATAATTTACAGCGTTGTATGAGGCTGTATAGATAACTTTTATGTCTCTATCTTCAGAAGAGAGTTGAGGGATGTACTGTTGAAGCGCTGAGCAAGGCCTCGGATAATGAGGACAATTATGTCGCGCAGGTGTCGTGTCTGCACTAACAAGTCAGCTTCGTTTTCACTGTCAACCACAATCTTGAAACGATGTTGATCGCTCCGAAGTAGCTCTACCTGCAAACAATTGGTTTTGTTCTGCTATCAGAGTGTAATCTTTTGAATGCCACGCGAAGAGCTACATAGCCAGCTTAAATTTTCACTACCCCAGTCACTAGAATTGGGTGTCATATTATGACACCGAGCCGGTAAGTTGTTCCCCCCCCCCAAAAGAAAAACAAATTGATGAGGGTGGAGGGGAGGGTGGTAAGAAACAACTTAATTTGAGGCCCAACGGAGCATTGTAGGGGCCTCAAATGGCTGGTGTCCAATGTCAACAGAACCGAACTGTTTTCATCAATAATAAGTGCCTGAAGTACATTGTGCAAAATGCTGTTACGTGTTTCTATTTCGATTGTTTTGTGGATTTTTTTTTGCTAAATTTTCTAAGATGAGGGTTAGACACTTATCAAACCAAATTGCCCTTGAGTTGATTGACATACATGGAAAGGAGGAGCATAAGTGCCTCGGACTTCAGTTGTGGGAAATGATGTTTTAGAACCAGGCTTCACAACCTTAATCCTCTTTCTGTTAACCTCCAATATTCTTCTCTCAAGACTTCCAACGCCAAGAACCTGTAGTCAAATGTGTAAAGATTATAGCTCGTGTGTATAAAAATCAATATGCCGAGAAATCTCCAAAATGTGGTAATACCTTCTTAGAGGACCGATCCTTGTCACACAAGGCCTGCAATGATTCCGCACAAATGAAATCTAGAGTTAATACACTACACCCAATGCCATAAAATCAGACCTTAGAGAATTGGCCCTATCCTCAATATTACAATCAAAAGTTTGTACACAATCGGTTATACAGTAAATCTAAAGCTATTTACCATTATGAAACTCACACTATATTATTCAACCTTAGGTTCCATAGCTAAATCAAGGTTCCCTTTCAATCCTTTTATTCCTTTTCATTTTTAAAAATATACTTCATAGGCACAACATAGAAGCAGAATAGTTGATTTGATCAGACTGAACAGAACCAACAAAGTTTGGCATATACTAAATTTAAAAGATTTCAATGAGTAATATATATTAATTGAAAATGTTAGTGGGAAAATTTCAAGGAAATATGATTCGAGCACTATACTCGTTTACCTGACATTCTGACAATGTTCAACACGACTCGATATAAAAGGTTATTCGTAGTATGTAGCAAGGTTATCATTGAAAAGACTGTCCTAGATACCACTGATGTGTTTCATGTGAATATTTTCTGAAAAATTATTTCAAATCCTCTTCCATTGGCCTCTCAATCACATGAATGTCAAGAGGCCAGGTAACCACGCAAAAATGGGAGGCCGTGGTAACAGCATGCTTTTGTTAGTTTTACTAAGACATACACACAAAATCAATGCTGAACCTTGCATGGAAAACCAACCGTTCCAGTTGCATCCCCGACTGGAGGAATACCTCTTCATTGTGAAAAATGTTTGAACTTTGAATTTGATTGGCATACCGGCTGTAGGCTGTAGCAAACGTAGCTCTGAACTGATCATCTTTGCTTAATCAGCTTTGAAAGGTATGATTCTTTTAACAGAGAATTAAATTGAAGTGCAAGAATAAGAGTTTATTTTTCATGACGTCGAGTCAAGTTGCAATTTTTGTACAGTTCAAGTTTCATTGTTATAACAAGCATGGAGTATATAAATTAGCTTGATGAGGGTGAGTATTATTTTTAACGTGAAACCTTAGCCAATCTAGAACACAACCTAAACACATGTTGTTTGTCGGATTGTCTCATAACATTTGTTTAAATAAAGACATCCACAATTTATTAAATTGCACACAAGTGCTCGCACAAGCTGAGTTATTGCCTCTTAATTCAGTAAAAGTAAGCATAAACAAGAATGGCACCTCAAACTTCACTGATCCAATTTCAAGTTTCTCCTTCACTTCTTTAAGAACATCAGGCTCTGCAAAAAGGACAATACTATCAGAAGTTGGATAAGACACATTTGCAATGTAGAACTTCAAGAACTTCAGGTTTTCAAACAAAAAAAGACACCACGCCTGGTACCCAACAAAAGGATGGCATGATGAAAAATACCAAAGAGAACACCCCAATACCCAAACAAAATATGTGTATCCATGAACTATTGCCCTTACAATTTGCTGCTAACTTAATAATTACCATGTAATCTGAGATCAAACAAAATACAGCTACTGCAAACGGATTATAATGACGATTCATTGGAACAAGTGGAGCCAGGTAACCATCCTTTATACATTATACATTTCATAAATCAAAAGTTTCTAGAATGAAATCAAGAATAGAGCCAAAATGACAGACAGGATCTTAAAGGGGTTGCATGAACCTCGGCGAGAGGTGTAGAACTCCAATGATAGCAATCTATTGTACCAAATGGACTTTCCAAACAGTGTGCACATGAATGCAGGTTTATATATAACTGGTTGGTTGGAACAGATGTGTTAAATCAAATAAACAATTTTTTGGTTTGTACTCCTTTTCCAAAATGGATGTCAACTTTACTATTTTGGTCAAACCCCTTTCTATTCCTTATTTTCCTTAACAAAGCTAATCTTCCATTACTCATTTACCTACTGCAATAGGATCCGTTGATGCAGAAACGGGTTGTCCCTCAACTCCATCATCTCTTACAGGAGTATAAATGACCACCAGCCTATATCCCACATCATCAACGTTCGCTTCATACATCCTTCCTGTCTCCCCTGCACCATAAATGGGAAAATAAAAAAGAATATCAGCATCTTGTTCCATGAAAATGGTCCAAGTCTATTGATGAACGAATACGGTGAGTAAAATGAGCTTATACTTGTTACCGTGTATCTCTACAAATTTATTTAGCTAGCTTGCAGGAACGTGATGTATACCAATTACCAAGTCTGCGTACCCTCATATGTGTTGAAGTATCACTTTTCAGAATTTAGGAAGGTCATGTCGAACTAACATGATAAGCACTGAATGGTTTTCTTAAGTGTGATCTAGCATTGCCTTAACGCATGAAATGGGAGTTTCTAATAGGTTTGGGGGGGGGGGACTAGTACTTTTTGAGGAATTCAGAAACCAACTGAAAAAAAATATAATAAAGAGGAAAAGAACACATAGTATTAACTATCTAATAATAATACTTCAGCATACCAGGAATAGAAATGAGATCAGGACATCCAACTATTGACCTAAGCCACTGAATTTTACTTTTGCCCTCCTTTCCACCACTATAAATACCACGAACTGAAAACAAACTGGTGTGAAACCCTCTTCCCTCAATCTCGAGCTTATTCATCTTAGGCATACCTGAAATTAGCAAACTGTTATGTATATATAATCACAAAATCTACAAACAGAAAGTTTGAGGGACAATAAAATCATGTTTCGGGCAGGCTATATTTCAGAGTCACTTGAACACGAGAACTCTACACCAAAGCAAGGAAAAATATTAATCAGAAGCTCATGTCAAGAAAGCGAAAAAAAGATGTCTACTTGAAAAAAGAGACACAATGGCCTAAATAATAAGGATACAATTTTAACTCTTGAATTGCTCAAGATAGCACATTTTCCCTATCTGTAAACCTCAGAATATAATTAGATTATATTTCCAGTTTAAAAAAAGAAAAGAGACAAAACAGAAACGGACTTCACAGCAGACTACTGGGCAAACAAAAAAACAAATGTTAAATCTATAAAATAAAAAGAGAGATGATTAACCCTGCATATCCAGCTACAAACCTGGCAAAATAGAAGCAGTTTCGGCATAAGCAGGATCACTTGACCTTCCAAAAATATCAGTCACAATGCATTCACAC